GAATGAGTTTTGGTTTATCGTAATAAAAATAATAGCTCATTTGAGCATTGACCATGATTGTGTTTGTAGAAAAAAGAAAGAAATGCAACCTTACAACAATGGGAGAGTGGCTCAAGCTTGGCAGATAAAGTAGGTTTAATTACATTTACAATGTGCTTTTAGACTTTGAGAGTAAGAGGGTTGTTATTGGTCAATATAGGAGTGCCATTAATATTGCAATATTTTTTTTGCAGTAAATAAATAATTTTTGATGTCTAACAAAAATTGTGGCTTTTAAGTCCAGAATTTAAATACATAAGCCATTGCAAGCCTTAGTTACAGAAGACTGTTACAGAAGAGAGATCAGATTTAAAATCGGCTGCTTGTTAATATAAGCAATTAAAAAGTGAAGATTTTTTGTCAAGAAAAGAGTTTAAAGTTGAGTCGTCAGCAAATAGAGCCACTTTAGGTTTCATAAAGACTGTTATTGAAGATAAGAAACAATACAGGAATAGAACCTTGTGGTACCTTTAAAGTTACTTGAAATAAAGAAGAGTGTAGGCCTTCAACTATAACAAAGTGAAGAATAATCATTGGAAACTATTAACAGAGTAATTGTTGGATAACAGATTAATTGTTGGATAGTTAAAGAGGTCAAAGTGCTTTCTAGAGTTTTGAAAAATTGGAACTACTTATTTAGCACTTTTTAAAAGCTTAGCAAAAATTGAAGAGAGTTCTAAAGAACACTTTTTTAAGACTTTTAAATGATGAAAATCTATTCTGGAGCACACGCTGTAGAAACATTTAATTGAGAATTAACTTTAGCATTAGAAGCCAGAGTGACTTCGATGATTAACAACGAGTTAATCTGTTTAACTTTTAGAAAGAGTATGGCCATTATATTCAAGAGTCAAATTAGGGTAAGATTTCTTTGCAAATAACTCTGCTTTATTCTGGGGAGAAGTAAAAAGATCAGACCCATTAATTAGAGACTAAATGTTAGACTGAAAGTCTCTAGAACCTAACATCTGAGATAAGATACAAGATTTAGTGAGATTAACAGAGCTTAACATCAGACAGGACTTTTTTACATTGGCTTCTTGCAATAATAAAAAGACATTTGTTCTTAAGAGAGATGTTCTTGTAAAAAAATGAAAAAAATGTTTAATGTTTAATAAAGCAACTGCTCAAGATGGTGAAAAATGTTGAATGAGACTTAAAATTGAAGAGAAGTAATAAAAGCTTTCAAACTTTTATTCCAGAAAGAATAAAAGCTTCACATGATACACTTTATGCATACATATTATGGATATAAACATATATGTTATTTATACACTTTATGTTTTTTATACACTTTTTATACATATATGTTATTTACACACTTTATGTTATTTATACACTTTATGGATATAAACATATATGTTATTTATACACTTTATGCATACATATTATGGATATAAACATATATGCTATTTATTTAGATGCTGGCATACAATATCCTTTCATTGTTATATAAACTTTAGTATTTATATGGTGTAGTATTTGCCGAAAGAGAAGATTATCAGATGGATGTGTGGTGTGACTCTAGCAAAATAAGAAAAGGAGGCATAATCTTAGACAGATTAAAAAAAAACTCGAAAAATATATATTGAAAAATGTATCGAACTTTTGTTAGAGAAGATTTAAAGAATTTAGGTATAAGCATGTAGAAAGGTAGCTTTCTACCTTCAGTAGAAAATTGTAGAGGTAGAAGTAAGAAAACTTAAAGAGAGTACTTTACATATTGTATGAATGAGCTTTAGTTAAGAAAAAAAAATGCTCTAGATTGTTTATATCAGAGAAACATCATAAAAGAGGAAGGCTAAAGCCTAATGATGATGATTATGATGATAATGATGATGATGATAATGATCATCATTATCAGACTATTATAATAATTATTATATATTATAATTATTATATATTATATATTATAATCCTCTTTTATGCTGTTAATGATGATGATAATGATGATGAAAATAATGATGATGATGTTCATCATCATCATCATGATAATAATGATGATCATGTTGATCATATGCATATATGTTTATGTTTATATATGCATATGTATACAAAATATAACATGAATTTTGAATAAAAAAGTATACTTAAGGATGTATAAATGTTTATGCAGCCCCGGTCACAAACCCAGCCCTGGCTATATTTTATCAAACCGGCCCTGGCCCCGGCCAAATTTTAAACCCGGTCACTTACTACTGTGCAGCATGTAGCCTCAATTTGTTAAGTCACATACAACTAATGTCAAGAGGTCTTTATATTCTGAAATATCTGATATTTTCAAAAAGTTTTACATTCTTATGATACTCACAAACACATAGTATGTGTTTGTGAGTATGATACTGAATGGAGATCTGAAGTACCTCCAATTGAAATATACCACTTTGGTTTAAGTTTACAAAACATAGATAATCTAATCTTGACATCAAAAGAAGTTTTAATAAACTCTATATAAAGTTCTTTTTTTTTTAAATATTGTGAGTCTTTTTTGAAAATTTTGTGTTTTACCATCAACTTAGATTGAGACATACTGTTTCATTTACATTGTAAATGCACAATAGAGGTATAAAATAAAAAATAGTTTTAAGATTTTCAAATGAGCATGTCACCTAGTTATGAGCTTTTATATTTTGAAAAAAATGACAATAATTTTAAAGTACATCCTTTTAAAAAAACTTAGGCACCAAATGAATTAGAGTTCGTAAGGGATTGTCCATAAACTAAACAACGCTAAATTTATTTTTAAAACAGAAGTAGGAGATCTCTTTTATGAGATAATTTTCATTAAACTTAACGCGTCTAAAATAATAGATTGTATAAGGCGTTACAAGTTCAGTTATTACACAACCATTCAATGTCAAACAAAAATTCTACTGCAACCAAAATATATTTAAAAAATATATGGAAAAAGAATTTGATTTCACGTAAGATTAAATCTCAAGAATCATTAGGAAACTTATCATTGTAGTTTTGTAAAATTGTAAAATGCCAACAAAGTGGCAAATAATTAACCAATACATCAGCTTGGCATCAGACTGTAAAAATGTAAAAGGATGAATAAAGAAAATTTCAGATGAATGTTTAGAACTACAGGCTAATTTAAATTTTCCAACAACAAATAAAAGATCAGTGCCAAGAATAATAAAAAAATTAATTAAAAAGAGACAAATAGAAATCAAAAAACCAGGTACTTATATATGTGAAAGAGGATGGACTTTGGTTGCATTCTGAAAATAGAAATCTTTATTTAAAGCAATTAGAGACATCTGGTAGAGTGGGATATACTACAATGAAGCCTGATGATCCTAAAAAAATACATCCTTCAAAGAAAATTAAAAATTGAAACATTACATCAATGCAATCACCTTTAATTCTGAATGAATAGACAAAGGAATACAAAAGTAGTAATGAGTCAGTAAGTGACAGTTGCGGTGATTATAAACCTTCAATTAATATTGTTAAACAACAAATTAAACAGAGGACAGTCGAGGCTGTTAAATTGGTTTGTCAAGCAAAGGAATGAAATGACCCTATAATGATTATGACACTATTATAAGTTGGCTAAATCAGAGATTTATTTAGTGTACTTGTGTTTCATGTGTACATCCACCTCTTCAATCTGCAGGTTTTTTAATTTTCATTTTCACTTTCTTATAAAATAACTTAAGTGCTATTTTTTAGTTTTAACTACAAAAGAATCAAAGGGCAATATAATTTATTGTATTTAAAAAAAAAGTGATACTTACAGGCTGCTGTTAGTGTTTTATTAACTTTAATGCATAATTTTTATTTTTACCCCAAGTGGTTACACTAAGTTCACTAAAGTAACAAAAAATTTCCATTTTTACTGACAGGTAAAAATTTGCCTGTCAGTAAAAGATGAACTGTAGAAATGTTATAGTTTATGAAAAATAAAAAATAAATCTAATCTAAGCTCCAAATACTCAATTTTTGCTGAATTTGGTCAATATTAGTTTAATTATAATTTTTTCTGCATTGTATTTTTTACATAGCATCTGTGGGTCAAAATTTGAAGCATTTTGAGGTGATGCAGGGTGGCCATGCCTCCTAATAAATAAAATAAAATAACCTAATATTTGAAAAACCTCCTAGAAATATACTTGATATCCTAAAATGTACTTGAATTTCAAAAATACTCCTAAAATTTAAACTTGTGTTTTGAACTTAAAGTTTTCTTTCGAACATTTAACGTAAACTTTCATTTTTTTTTTTTAAATTTTCGAATTGTATTTAAATTTTAGAAAGAAAAAAATTATTTTTATTCTTTCTTAAAATATTTAACATTTTAAGAAAGTGTCTTAAAATATTTAACAAAAATTTAAGCCTTAACTTTAATATATCTTTTTTCGAGATTTTAGTGCATTTTTTAATTGTTTCATCTCATAAGCAAACGGACTTATATGTATTTAATATTCCCATATTTTTTATTTGTTTTTCCATGTTTCCCCTTAAAATCTCATAAAAAATCTTTAAAATCTCCTTAAATCTTCTAAATTCTTCTAATTTTTTTAATCAAAAGAAGTGTGGCCACCCTAAGATACCAATTTGTTCATTATGTGATTTAATATGGGATAACCCAACAATTTTGTGCTTGTAGAGTATTAGGTAAATAAAGGATTTATCTATATATAAATTTACTATATATTAAATTTATTCTATCTATAAATAAAGGATATATCTATATATAAATTTTGTCTTTAGAAATTTAAGAAAAATCTTTGGGTCAAGAAAGTGTCTTAAAATATTTAACAAAAATTTAAGCCTTAACTTTAATATATCTTTTTTCGAGATTTTAGTGCATTTTTTAATTCCTTCATCTCATAAGCAAACGGACTTTTATGTATTTAATATTCTCTTATTTTTAAACAACAATTTATTTATAAAAAAAGGAGTTACATTTTTGTATAATTTTATATATAATTTGTATATTTTCTTTTTAGATGCACATAGCTGCAGCAAATGGATATGAAGATGTTGTTGAATATTTACTTGATCATGGTGCTAAAATAGATCTTATTGATAATGATGGATGGCAACCAATACATGCTGCAGCATGTTGGGGACAGGTTTTATAAATCTTTGTTGTGAAATATTTAATAGATTTTTAAACACTGACTTACAATGTTTTAAAAGTTTGTTTGATAAACATGTTAAATATGCTAAATTTTGTATTAAATGCATGCCAAATCTTGCAATAGAGGCATCCCAAAATTTATGCAAAATAAGACTCAAGTATATCCCAATAGATATTCCAAAATTTAGCAATAAAAGTATTCAAAAATTTAGCAAAAAAATGCATTCCAAAATTATGAGGTAAAATTGATGAATAGATATCTGTATATTTCTGTTTAAATCTATATAAAAATTGATATAAAATTTTTTTAATATATATTTATTTTTTTCTTATTGATTAACACCATATTTATTTATTTACATCGTTCATTATTATTGTCCTTACCATCATTATCATCATCATCATAATCATCACAGGGGTTGTTCTAGGAAAATATTAGAGCGGTTATACCCAATCCCCTCCCTCCTTCATACTGGCAAAATTTGGCAGAAATATTGCCAATTGTAGGCATTTTTTTCTTGCAAAAAAAAAATTTGCCGTTTTAAAAAAAAAGGTTTGTTATTGACTTGTTTAAATATTTTTTAAATTCACTTCTTGCATAGTTTATTTTAAGGTTTTTAATTATACTTTAGTTATTTTTTAATTATTTTAAACATTTTGTATTGCTAATCAAAGCACATCTCATAATACCTTGACCAGATCTCTAAAAATGTTATAAGCTATACTAAAGTTGAATTAAATTAGGGATTTGTAATATTCAGCTATTATAATATTCATACACACACACACACGCGCGCGCACACACACACACACATATATATATCTATATATATATATATATATATATATATATATATATATATATATATATATATATATATATATATATATATATATATATATATATATATATATATATATATATATTATATATATATATATATATATATTATATATATATATATATATATATATATTTTTGATACAGGAATCATTTTATTTCTTTTGTTTTATCAGGAGAAAATCATAGAGCTTCTTGTTAATCATGGCGCTGACTTGGATGCAAAAACTAAAGATGGTGAAACACCAATAGGTTGCATTCTTTGTATTTTTTTTTTTATCATTATTGTAAACACACACACACACACACACACACACACACACACACACACACACACTGTGAATCAAACTTTTATAATAATGAGTTTTTTATAAAAAATTTATATTTTATATTAAATATTAAATTTTAACTTTCTTTTTTATAAATTAAAACATTTATAAAAAAGAAAGTTAAAATTTTTAAATTTGTGCCAAAATTATATTGAATGATCAAAAATGTTGAATGTTTTTGATTGGTGAAATATAGTTCTGAGACCACAAGATCTTTAGTTTGAAATAACAACATAAGTTAACATTTCTTTAATAGTTTAAATAAGCAATATGCAAATTCATGATTGATGGAAAAAACAGTTTTTACATATAAAAAAGTTAAAATAAAAGCTACAAAAAGAAATTATTATAAATGGTTGGATGAAAAAAAGTTATAAATTGTATATGGAAGGGTAAAAAAAAAAAGTTAAATAAGGTATGGTGCAAAAAAAAAGTTTTGTTATACAAGGTTGGATGAACAAAAAAGTAGTTTTTATTATATAACAATACTGCTTAGAAAAATTGTTAAAGAATACTGCTTAGAAAAATACTAAAAAAAAAATTTAATTTATAATTTATGCAAAATGTATTAAAAAAAGAGTTGTTTGTTGTTGTTATTGTATAATCTTGATTAAAAGCTTGTTTTTAGTTTTGATTTTTTAATGAGTTTTTCTTTTGTGTTATTTGGCTTTGTAATAATCTAAACCACAATATATTACACAAACACAAAATGTGTAATGCTTCGATCATCTTTACAATTAAGCATAAAGTTCAATCACCTTAACAATTTTTTTTTCAACAGATCAATGTTGGTTGGCAACCTTTGAGTAATTACTTCAAGCACAGTGTGTGTGTTTGTTTGTAATTTTGTGTGAGTTTATATTTATTTATTGCTATTCTAAGCACATCTCATACTACCTTCACCAATTTTCTGAAAATGTTATAAGCTATACTAAAGTTGGGATTTTAAATATTTATCTATTACAGTAAGAATTAGTGTTATATTAGAATGATTAAGAGTGCAGGCCATGCATCATTGACATGATGCAGAGTGCAGGCCATGCACTCTACATCATGTGGTTTAAACAAATTTTTTAAGGAAAATAAAAATAATAAAGTTGAGGAGAGTCAAGAAAAGAAAAGAAATAAACAAAAAATTTAAAAACAAAATCAAAACAAAATAACCAAGAAATAAAAAAGATAAAAGAAACAAAAAACATGGAAAATAGTTGAATGATCGAAAATAAAATATAAAAATCTCTCCGTTTTTGAAGAAACAAAAAAAATATTTTTTAAGTTTTATTAATTTTTGTGCATTGTTTATATTGTCGTGTATTTTTGCATATCATTTATGTTGTCATGTATTTGATATATTTATGTTTTTTTAGTCTGTTTAATGTTAGTCAAACAAGTTGTATATATTTTTAAAACTGTATATCTATATGTGAATGTATAAATTTGTATATGAGTGTAAATTGGTGTGTAAGTGTATTTCTTTATGCATATGTATATGCATGCATGTATGTATGTATGTATGTATGTATGTATGTATGTATGTATGTATGTATGTATGTATGTATGTATGTATGTATGTATGTATGTATATATATATATTTTCTTTTTCAGTTTCAATTTTGATTATTGTTATCATTATTATTATTTTTTAATTTTGTTATTATTTTTCCAATTTTCTTATTTTATATTTAAATAATTGTTTTATGTCATTGTTAGTTGTTATGTTTTATCAGTTTTTAACTGTTTGTAACTGTCTAACTTTTTATATATAGCTATTGTGTTTATAAAAACAAGTAGCTTCTTATTTTTAATATTATTATTGTTACCATTATTTTAGTAGTAATGTTTTTAATTATTAATACTGTGGTTCTTGTGTTTATTAATACCATTATTTTTATTAATATCATAATTTTTATTGTTATTAATACCATTTTTGTTATTACTGTTGTTATTAATGTTATTATTGTTAACTTATGATTTTAGAGTTTTTATTATTTATTATTAATATTATCATTAGGTGTTTACATATCATTAGTAATTATACTATTTGTAAACATCCTTGTATTGTATGATCAAATAATTCAGAATATATATATATAAATATAAATGTATATATATATATATATATATATATATATATATATATATATATATATATATATATATATATATATATATATATATTTATAGTGATATATTGATATGATGAAACAAAATTAATAAACTAGTTATTTATTTACATAAATACATTCAATAATGTTATGTGTAGTAGTAATTAGAATGATGACTTGAGGATGATTTCAAATTAAAATTAATTAATTTTACAGATTTAACAGAAGATGAAGAGTTGCAAGGCATGATTGAAGACTTAAAAGAATCGGGTCAAATAGTTCGAGAATTAAAAAGAAGTCAAAGTAATAGCTCACGAACGTTAGTTATTTTTAGCATTTTTTTACTACTTTTATTTACAATTTAAATTTTATTTATTAAGAACTTTATATAAAATAGTTCAAAAATCTTTTCTGTAAAAATGTAGTTTTTACAGAAAAGATTTTGGTAAAAAGAACTTAAAGAATAGAAAAAGAACTAGGTAAAAAGATTTTTTTTATTTGTTACTTTTCTTCTGTTGAATTTCTAAAGCTATTTCTAAGAATAAAAGAAAATTGAGACTTTAAAGTAAAGAGTATTTGTTGGTTTTTAATTGATTGCCTGATAAATATTTTTTGTTCTAGTGAACATTTGTTGAAAATGATCCTAATTTTTATTGTCTAGTGATGATTTATTAAAAATGGCTCTAGCTTTAATTTTGAATTTACATGATTTTTTCAGTGTAATATGTCCAAACAAGAGCTTTAGAGTTATTTTTAGTTATTTTATTTTGTATTAGGTCTTCAATGTTAAACAATTTTTTTTTATAATTTTAATTCATCTCTTGAAGGCCATGAAGGTCACTACAGACGAAGAGGCTATTTTTAATTTTGTTTACAACCCTTTCTCAACTCTATAACTCCAAAATATAAACATTGACAAACAATGCCGCTGCACAGAGAAACAAGTTGAGCGTGGTACTAATAATATATAGCATCTTTTTTTACAAAACGGGTAAAGAATACCTTTTTGGAGTCTTTAAATTGATTTTGCTCAAGAACTGCAGACCAAAAAAAAATTATTTTTTATCACCCTAATATTTATATATATGCACTAATGCTGCATATATTATATACATAATTTATATTTATATACGCGACTAGGATGCTATATATATTCATATATATATATATATATATATATATATATATATATATATATATATATATATATATATATATATATATATATATATATATATATATATATCAACAAGACTGCAAGCAACCGCTAATTAGTATTAGAAGTTACTGAAAGAGAAAAGATAAAGATTGTAGTTCAAAATAACGATTGACAGACGACTTAAAAGATTGCAAGTAGTAGGAGATTCTGGCTCATTTTCATTTTCAACCATATTTTCAACCATATATTTATTTAAATATATGGTTCATTATCATCCATAGTGTGTATAAATTATATAACTAAGAAATAAATTTTTAAATCAATTTTTAGATTTAAAAATTAGTATCAATTTCGTTTTTATTGTGTGACGTCACATGTCACATGACTTTTATTTTGCTCATGCGCATTAGCTATTTTTTAGCATAGTAGCGCTTATGCATAGTAGTAGCATTGTCCTATTAATGCAGCAAAGCTTCCAGATTGTCCAACATGTGCGTCACCAGAGTTAAGTGTCACTACCATTCTTCTACCACTACCAACGCTAGGCATACTTTCAGATGAATCAAAGTTTCTATAAAATGAAATTGTAGTTGTTGGACCAATTACACTACTTGATTGATAAAGTAATCCTGATGATGTATTATTAAATGAGCTTACATTAGATTCATTCCATGAAGAGAGATAAAAATCTTCTAAACCTGATGAAGCGTAGATGCATCGACTATTAACATCATATCCAGAAAATGTAGTATATCCATTATTATTATAGAGTGTCCTAGGTTGAATGACAGAGTTAGTATTGGTAGGAGCACCATATCCATCATAGATGCGAACTCTAGATTCCCACCAGTTTCCAGATCCTCCAATGACATGCATTCTAATGTATTTCAAATACACTCCGTTTCCATTATCCATAGCATTCATTAGCATATATTCACTACCATAAATTGTATTTACATATCTAAATGTTGATGAGTACAACTTAATAGATGAAATGGATCGAGGTATTAGCGGGTTAATACTAGTTAATGTTTGTTGTAACGATGAAGTTCTTGTGATAAAAAGTTGTAACCAAAAGGTCACTGAATTGCCTGTTTTATCGTATAATTGTATATTCAAACTTGATGTAAAAGGAAGATCGAATGCAAAATATCCTCCTAATGCACTTGTACTAAATACATTACATCCTTGTAAAGAGTTTGCATAATAGGGTCCACCAAGTGGTGCAATTATTAAATCACAAGCTAAAGCTGTATTATTAATACCTACACCATCTGTTATAATAGAATCATTACCTATGTAAAGTACATTATCAGCATATATTTTTAAAAATAAGTTACCTGGTACAGTATTAGGTGCAATAGTAGATCCTGTAAATGCAATCCACAGTTTTTTTGAATTCCTGAACTACCACTATAGCTAAAAATAGTATATGATCCTGGAGTTGCATAGAATGTTTGAGATTTTTGTCCAAAGCAAATTAAACTTGTATTGGGAATGATATCTAAACTTTGATTTTGTATATCATCAACATAGCTCTTTGTAACAGCATCCTGCGCATTAGTAGGATCAGCTACGTTGATGAGTTTATTTGTATTTAAATTAATGTTAGCAGTTGCAGGATTATAACCATCAGTTCTTAGATACATACTACTAGAAGTTTGATTATTATCTACATAATGCTTTGTAGCTGCATCCTGTGCGTTAGTAGGATCAGCTACATTGATTATTTTATGTGTATTTAAATTTATATTAGCAGTTGCACTATTGCTTCCATCTATTTTTAAATAGGAACTGCTAGAAGTTTGATTATTATCTACATAATTCTTTGTAGCAGCGTCCTGTGCATTAGTAGGATCAGCTACATTGATAAGTTTATGTGTATTTAAATCAACATCAGTAGTGGCTGTATTGCCAACATTAATGTTGATATTTAATCCATCTGTTGTTTAACAATACATTAAAGTACTACCGGCTATATTCATACTCATTTTTATTTACTATATATTTTTTTTAATTCAATATAATGAATTTTCAATACTTTGAAAATCAACACCTTCATCTAGCTTTTTTAATACATAAAGACACAAGTGTCCGCAATAGGAGGTATCTCCAAACTGAATTCTTTTACTATTATAATAAACAGGACTGTGTAAATATTGAACAAGTTCAACTGGAGGTGGTAGTGCATAAGAGTCAAAACTTAATTTCCATCTTTATACCAACAAATCCAATGAAATCCATTCGTATTTGAATCTCCAGTATTAAATATTCCACATTCTTTTTTTTTGTGTATTTTTAGGTAATTCATCTCTTACAAATACACCTGTAAAATTTTTTATTTTTAATTTTTTTGCTGCTTTTATTAACTGAAAGTTTGTTAAGGGTTCATTTGGTAATATGATTCCTTCAACATTGATATGTTTGTCCATTTTTATTAATAGTTTTAGATTTTTGGATAGCTATTAAATTTTCATCAAATATCGTTCTACTTTCATAGTTGGGTTTAGATGCTAATTTAATAGCTTCTTCTCTTTTAGTGACTAATCTCACATCAACTCTGTTTTCAATATTCTCCATTGTTTTTCCAAATGCTGAATTATTCATGAGTTTAAAAAAGTCTTTTTCAAAATCATTTGTTGCTTTTGTTCTTAGATCTGTATTGAGTTTAATGTACTTACTTAGCCATGCACTTTCTTCAAACTTTATTCCTCTATGAATTTTAGTCAATTTCAATCCTAATCTTTCATACAATTTTAAATTTTCATAGTGTATGATATAGTTTTTTTTATGATTTAAATTGGGTACTAACTTATCAAACTTGTCTATTTTTAATCTCTCAGGAGCAAGCGGATAATCATTATGCAAATCATGTAAGTGTTCAGGATAATCTAAATCTACTTCTAATATACAATAAATAGATTTCTAATTTTTTAACTCTTCTTCACTCATCCATTCAAATCCATGTGTAGGAAGTGGTTTACTCATTGCCCATCCATATAAATTATTTGCATCTAAATATTGTATATATGTTGAATCTTTGTTTAAACCATGTTCATCACTAATGTGCTTAGGAGACTTGGATACTTTATTGTTTGTATTTTCTAATTTACAAGGTTTTCCACTTTGTATTCCTTGCTTTATCGTTGTCATCATTTCATCTAACCATTCAAAACAAGGCATAGGAAGTTTTTTACTTATTTTCCATTTAAATTTCATACTAATCTTGCCTTGTATTCCTTTCTCTATTATTTCATCAATCCATTATTATTATCAGCAATACTACTTTTATACTCATATATTTTATTAGCCTTAGTATTTGCATTATTCATATATTTATTATTAGCAATTCCTATCCTGTTAGATATCATACTAATCCCACCTCTTATTCCTTCTTTAATCATAAGAATCATATCATAATCACTTAATAATTCTAATTGTATTTTTGTTTCTTTCAAAGCAGCATCCCAAGCTAATTCTGGTGATGTATAATACCAAGCAGGATCTAATCTATAATTTTTCATCTCTAAAAAGACATCAGCTAGTAATAATACATCAGATTCGTTATATAAATTATGATAATCTCTAAATGTTTCACAATCAAACTCTTTCCATACAGTTTGAGCATGTAAATAATCTTCATCGCTTATTCCTTCATCATTTAATCTTGAATAAAATGATTCTTTCGATGGTAATTGTGTTTCATTTAATTTATCAATAGAATCAACCCATTTATAAGGATAAATACCTTTTCTTAACAATAAATTGAGTTCATTTCCAGAATAGTATCTACCAATATTCTTACATTGCTCCTTTGTTAGATTTTTAGTTAAACTATCTAAACTAGAAGCCATAAATCTAAAACTATCAAAAAAACGTAGTTCTCTCTTAACTTCAATTTTTTTACCTTCTTTATTAGTAAACTCATCAAGTTTAATTTCTTTAGAAAAGCTAATATACTTTTCTTCATTGTTAGGAATGCAATTTATTTTTCCTCCTCCTGACTATTTCTTTATGAATAAATGACAGTCATAACCAGTTAAATTATGAAATAAGATTGGTATGAATTTTGGAATTTCAAATTGTAAATTACAATCGCTATGTGCAGCGCCTCTATATTTTCCAGTAATATGACAATGATCTCGAACTCTATCTTCTTT